TTTTACGAGTATGAGTACACACACATTTTACAGTATCGGCCCCGATACCCGGTGCATTAGGGATGCACTGATAGCGATACCAGTATCGGGTATCGGCCCCGATACCAGTATCGATACTGATACTGGTATCGGGTATCGGAAATCTCATTCAAAGCCTAATGTCTTATTAATCTTCATTTAGTAGCAGATAACTTTTACGAGTATGAGTACACACACATTTTACAGTATCGGCCCCGATACCCGGTGCATTAGGGATGCACTGATATCGATACCAGTATCGGGTATCGGCCCCGATACCAGTATCGGTATCGGTGCATCCCTAATTGAGGCTGTTCTTTCATTTCTACTCTGTAAGGGCGCTGAGTCCCACATGCCAGTGTTGTTACTGTGTGCCACTCTTCCAGAGAATAAACATGCAGATCCAATCCCTGCGGTCACTGGTGTTTTTTAACCCACGAGCAGCCAGTTTGGAGCAGACGCCGTCTTTGAGGTTTGATTTCTGTCGATCATGCAAACAGCTTCATTTCAGAGTCCCTGCAGCTGCTCCTGAGGAGTAGAAGAAAAACTAGAAAGTGGAATTCAGGAGATCATCCAAGCATTCCTTCCTCTCCAGCTGACGTCAGGAGCGTGGGCAGAGAACCGCTTCCCCCGACTGAGTGGCCTCAAAGTCGGCTGGTCGTCCTGCTCCAGCAGCCGCAGTGGAAGATCAGGATGATCTCCCAGCTCCACTCCCACCTTGTGTCCTTGTTATGTCTGCAGTCATAGCAAAGTTAATCCTAACAGATCATCTTTAGACGTCAGCTGGCTAAATAAACTCCTCGCAGATGCCTGGATGTTACACGTCACTGATTTTACAGTCACTTTGTTTCCTGGTGGAAGCTGAAGGCGGATTTCTGAAGCAGCTTCTGGACATCAGACTGAACAACCGGGCAGAGACGTGATGTCAGTCTTGTGCAAACACAGAGCTGAGTGCAGACGGCGGTGTCGCCCTAAAGCCCGTTTCTCCACCGAATCATGGAGACAGAAGCTGCTCTTTGAACCCTGAGTTGTTATCTTATTTGATCGTTTGCACATACGTTACCCCACAGAGCTCTGATAATTATAAGTGAAATATTTCTCCGGTGTTTTTCTGTCATCACATTCGTGTCATTCTGTCCCTCCAGACCTCCGACCGCGGCGCCTCTCCGAGGATGAGGAGGTTCTCGTGAACCGGGAGAGGGACGCCAGCCTGAACCAGGAGGAACCAGCAGCTCGACGGATCAAAGAGGAGGAGGAGGAGCTCAGCATCAGTCAGGAGGGAGAGCTGCTCGTTCTGGACGAGGACAGCGACACCATCATGGTGACTGTTACGTACGGGGAAAGTGACGACAGCGACCCGGAGCCGGAGCCGGAGCCGGAGCAGCTCCCGTCTCGCAGCTCTCCTGTGGCCGAGAGCCGGCGTCAGGACAGAGGCACCCACGTGGAATCGGGATCGGCGGTGCAAGCGATGTACAACAGCGTGGACAACGCCCTGATATTCAGCGGCCCTGTTTACATGCAAAGCTTCAGGAATGAACCTCTGATGATGCAACAAGACATAAGCGACCCGGACGAGAAGCCATACCCCTGCAAAATATGCGGGAAACACTTTCGTAAACGTTTTAATCTGGAGATCCACATGAGGGCTCACACGGGCGAGAAGCCGTTCTCGTGTAACGTGTGCGGGAAAGGTTTCACGCGGAAGGACAGCGTGATCCTGCACATGAGGACCCACACGGGCGAGAGGCCGTTTATCTGCGGCTTCTGCGGGAGGCGGTTCGGTCGGAAGGATAATTTGGCCTCCCACATGAGGATCCACACCGGCGAGAGACCTCATTCCTGTAAAATCTGCGGCAAAAGCTTCTGCCAAAGTAACGACTTGTTGCGCCACACGAGGACTCACGCCGCAGAGAAGCCCGTTCCCTGCGACATATGCGGGAAAAGATTTCGGGACGCCTCGACGATGAATTTTCACAAAAAGAGGCACAAGTGAGAAGTCCCGAAGTGTACAAATAAAATACATGTATGCTGTGTGACGTCATAGCTCTCTACCTCTGTTACATGTGGGCGGTTTGTGACTGCGTCAACTTTGAGTCATTTTAGAGTTACGAGGCGTCGCTGACCGTAGGTACAAACTTTATCTTCCTCTGGATTATGTTTGCTTTCGTCTGCAGCCGCATGAGGGTGAGGATATCTGAGCTGCAAAAGGTCAGAGTCTGCGTGAAGGTGCGATCAGAGTATCTGAAATATGAAAATGCTCGCAGTGGAAGGACGGCCCCAGAAACGGTGTCGTGCATTAAGTGCCATTGAAGTTTCTGCAGCATCAGCAGAGGTGGCTGAATTCTCCGGATACTAAGGAAAGGTCATACGGTGCTTCCTTCACTACGTCCTTTAGCAGAGGATCCTTCAGGGCACAGGTGTCGAACTCCAGGCCTTGAGAGCCGCCGTCCTGCAGGTTTCAGACGTGTCCTTGATCCACAGCTGATTTAAACGGCTGAATTATCTCATCAACATGTCTTGAAGTTCTCCAGAGGGCTGGTAATTAACTAATCAACCTGACCCAGGGTGAGATCTAAAACCTGCAGGACACTGGCCCTCGAGGCCTGGAGTTGCACACCCCTGCTTTAGGAAAACGAGATGATGCCGTCCCGTTTCGGGAAACGAGCGATCAAACCAAGTGACGCGGCTCCGATCATGAAAATGTTAATCCTGTGTTTTCATTTTATTCTGATTTGTTTGACCCGTACAGGCTGTGATGGACCCTCAGCTGAAGTATGATCATATTGTGATATAAATAAAATCTGCTTCTTGTAAAGTTGTGCGATTTAATTTAATCTTAATTTGTTAAGATTGAGCTGTATAAAAGTATCAGTGGTTTAGGGTTCACCGTCATTCAAGCTCATCGTGGCTGACGTCTGTCCTGAGGTTGTGCTGAGTCTCTGCAGCAGGAGACGAGCGGACAGGAAGTGCAGTTAACCAGAATGTGAGAAACATCTGATTTCTCTTTATGGGCGTCAAGTAAATCTGAATAATCTTGATGTGTTAATACAGCTGCATGACGACGCGCCCAGAAACACGCCCTGCACGGCTGAACTGCCAGCAGTGAACTGATAAAGCCTGTAACAGCACACAGGTGAGCTCAGAGCTCATCTGGTCCTCAGGATGTTGTCGTTTCATTACAATGGACCCACATCAACAACACCACCGACACAGCATCAGGCACACAGCATCAGAACAGTCGGACTCGCAGCTTTCCTTCACCTTAATGTTTTCCATCGAGGACGAGAAATGGGAGGGAATTCGTTTTTTGGGAATCATTCATCCAGATTTCTCCGTTTCCGTGCCGTTTCATCCAAACACTGTAAAAGACAGAAGATGCTCTAAAACCATCCTGAATCACGAGTCACCAAACACAGTTTCAGCCTTGTAATAAAGTCTGGACAGTGATCAGATCAGAAACAAATCCATTAAAATAAAACAATCAAGATCCAAATTAAATGCTAACTTTGAGCAGTTAATACATTTGTTAAGGGAGCAGGAGACTGAAACCCAGTGAAGGATGGAGCAGAGAGGAGAGAGGAATGCACAAACAAGCACACGGAGCAAAAACATCTCTCCACAAAGGGAAAGACGAGACCACACGGGACTGATTACACAACGAGACGCAGCTGGGAACCGAGCACAGCTGCAGACAATCAAGGCGGGGCGGCAATCACACAGGAGGGAAGACAAAGAGAGGAAGGCAGAGCATGTGAGGAGAAGCAATCGCTCAAATAAAACAGGAAGAGAGAACCAGGACGGCAACGAGAAGCAAAACAAACCCAGAACCATCAGAGTTTAACAGTAACACTGCAGTAACCACGAGGAGGAGTTTCATGTGTGTGTTTCCAAGAAGCTTTTGTTTACTAATCAGAACAAAGGGAGACGATCACAGGATCATTTCTTCCCACAGTTTTGATGTCTTTGATTATTTCACTGCAGAAAGAAGAAAAGACCACAAATAAAGAAGTAAAGTCAGTTACAGTAAAGGTAAAACATCCCACGGTGCAGATATCAGAGTCTAATCTGCAACGTTTCACTGTCAGCTTCACAGATCACATGTATCACATGACCTCAAATGATTTGTTTGTGAACAACATGACATGAAAGCAAATTAATTCACAGTAAGTTTACTCCAGAGCATATCTGCTTATTCAAAGGGCTTAAAGTTGACCTGATAAAAGGGCCTCAGCTGCCTGACTGAGGTTTAAGTCCAGTAAAAATAGCTGTTAAAGCTTCACAAGGTTTCCTTATTCTTCAGCTGCAGTCACATAAATCTCCTGTTCAAACAAACTGCCCTTTATAATTGAAATGTGTGTTTATATTGCAGCAGAAAGGCAACCGAGTCCAAAACTGTAGACATGATCTAAAACATGAGCACACAGGAATCACACACGGAGCTTAACTGGCAGCACAGAGGCCGACTTCAAACACAGCTGATTAAACCACAGGTGAAAACAATCAGGAAAATCACAGGGCAGCAAGTCAAACAGACACACTGCATGAAAGAAAATCAAACTTCAAAGTCAAACAGGAAATAATCAGAGGAGACGAAACCTAACATGAACGCAGAGCGACCGAGACATAAAAACAGAGACAGAAGGAGGACGATCAGCAGCACAAACACATGAACCAACAACCAGGAAGACCTGAAGCAGCTGAAGCTCACAACCACTAAAAGAAGAAGCACGGTTACATTCAGATAATGCAGGCTGCACGAGAAAGAGTGAGTGTGCATGCCAAGCATCCTTGGGCAAGATACTAACCCCAGGTTGCTCTCTGGTGCGTCCATCGGAGTGTGAATGTCGTTAGAAAAGCACTCAGTTTAGAGTCAGTGATTGTGAGAATGGGTGTGATTGGGTGAATGTGCATGTTGTATACAGCACTTTGAGCACTCCGGGGAGTAGAAAAGTGCTCTATAAGAATCAGTCCATTTACCATTTACACACACACACACACACAGAACCAAAAACACTGAGATAATCATGGAAACAGAACAGAGTGTAAAAATCAACAAACTCAACATTAATTCAAAATTAAAATTAGAAACAAATTTGGAAAAAGTTTTGTTTTTTTGTCAAACAGAGTTGTTTTTCTCCTAAATACGTCCACTCACTCGACGCCATTTTTCTCGTACATGTACAAACATTTTCTCATAATTTTTCCAAATATTTAAAATTTACCTTCTTGTTATTTTGCAATTTTCTCCAAAACCTTTATACTGTTAAACTACCAGAAATGTACCATTAGTGGTCATTTTTAAATTAAAATGTATTATTATTATTGTTATTGTTGTTATTGTTGTTTGTTTTTGCAGTTTGTTGTTGTGCTTCTTGCCCTTTTTTGTCAATTTTTCTTGCTTGTTAGTTTGTTTTGTTGTAAACTGGTGAAAATTTCTTAATTTTTACTTATTAGTTATTTTAATCTTCAGTCTCAAACGTCTAAACGGACCGCAGATCGGCTGTGATCGAGTCCGGCTGCACAACACACTCCTGTCTGTAGAGGGCAGCACTACATGTCACAGTCCACAAGCTGCTGGAAATTCATCAGACGAAGAAGAAATTCGGCGGAAGTAATCAATGAAGACTGTTGTTGTGTGAGCTGAGTGTGTGAGCTGAGTGTGTGAGCTGAGTGTGTGAGCTGCGGCAGCAACAATGCCTTCAGTTCAGTATCTGAGAGAGTTTATCAACGAGCGACTAACTGCTGCTGCTGAACAAATATTCTTGGAGTTTGAAAAAACGATCGTCCAGTACGAGGAAGAGATCGACCGTCAGCGCAGACTGCTGGATATCACCTGGAAACCCGAAATCAAGCTGCACAGGACAGGTGAGTCTGTGACGTGGAGCTCTGTG